AAAAAAAAAATAAAAATAAAAATAAACAAGTTTAGAAAAAACAATCTCCCAATCACTGAAAACAATTTGCTTTCCTGTTTAATGTTTATTTCCCCTCTGCTCAGAGAGTTACAATCTTTAACCTAAAGGGATAATTATCCAAGTTCTGGGGGCGGGTGGGGTGGAGTTAGGTGTGTGTGTCTGTGTGGGATAAGAGGGGAGATTCGGAGAGAGCAGGAGAATACAATGTAAGACAACGGGCCATTGATTGCGTCATTTTGGATAACTTTTTCTGAACAAATATAAACAGGCCGATAACGCAGCGGGTCAAAAAATACCATCATCTAACCCTCTGCCCCCCCCACACACACACACACAGCAGTCCAAATGTAGCACAGCTCATAAATAATCGAGGCAAAATGAAAATATTGCTCTATATCAGCATCACATGCTCGATAGGAATTATGTCGCATTATATCGATCGCAAACGTGTGAATTGAACTGAATCGAAATCGTATCGTGACAGACTTTGTGATATCGAGAAATATTGAATCGTCATCCAAACATATCGATCCAACATCGTATCGTGATTAGGGTTGGGCATAATCGTATCGTGTGCAATTAATCGTCGGAAAAACATTAATCGATTATTTTTTGGCGATTAATACGATTAATGCCACCAGGCAGACTGACTGGATATTCCCCCAGTCAGTCCGGTCGGTGCTCCTCTCCACTTCAAATATGACGAACATTTTAAAAAAAGTTCTGTAATTTATCTATCAACACAATTTAAAATTTGATATATAAACTGAAGTCTGTAATTTTGACATAATTTGGAACAGATTTTTATAAAGAGCAAATCTTTCCCACTAAATTGGTCATGTGACCAGGACATAAGGATGTCCAGGGACTCCAGGGGATAAATCGTCAAATTAATCGTTATCAGCTAAATACCTAGGGGTGTAAGAAAATATCGATACTGAAATGCTGCGATATTTCATTTCCCGATACTGTATCGATATTCTAAAGCCCTGTATCAATTTTTAATTAAGGTTTAAAATGTCAACCTTCTTGCCAACCGTTCATTTTTATGTTGTAGTTCAGCCTCTGACCACTAGTTGGCAGCAGTGAGCCAGCTATTTGGCTCCTCTACCTCTTGAGCGCCAGAGAGTAAGGGTAGAATTAGCATTGTAAGTAAACATTAGCTTTTCTTTTTTTTCAGTAAGAGGTTTTTATTTAATAGAATTTTTAGACAAATAAATCGCAATATATTGCCTTGTTTACAGTATCGCAATATATCGGGATATATCGTATCGTGACCCCTCGATTATGATATATATCGTATCGCCAATTTTTTGCCAATACACAGCCCTATAAATACCACAATTAATCATGATAAATTTTTTGCCAATATTGCCCAACCCTAATCGTGATAAAGCTGGTGATTTACACCCCTACTAAACATGCACGCCTCTTTTTTTTTTTTTTTTTGGTTTGTTTTTTTTAATCTGTTGATGAAACAGGAGTACCCAGAGAAAACCCACGCAAACATGAGGAGAACCTGCAAACCTCACACAGATCCCAAGCCCAAACTAGGGTTCGAACACAGGACCTTCTTGCTGTGAAGCAACAGTGCTAACCACTAATCCACCCTGCTGCCCTGATARTTCTGCTTTTCATAAAAAAAATTAACAGATGCCAGTGTTTCTTCAGAAATCATGTGCTTGTTTGTATGCGAACATCCTTAATCATTATCATATAAAGCACAAAAGAAGGAAGTTATGCAGTTTTGTGTACAAAAAGAACCATCCTGTATATATATTTTGATTTCAACATTTCAAAACTCACATTCAAGTTCAGAAAAAAGGAAGTGCTGTCAGAATTTACACAAATATAACTGTCATGTTCAGTTGTTAAAGCAAACTTGATAGAGGTAGTTTATATATAAAGACTTCACTTAGAAATAAAACCTAACAAAAGGGATTTTTTAACTTAATTAAAAATGAAAATAGTTTTTATATCAATGGTAAACGTTAAAT